TGGCAGTGTGGGCGTTCATCACACTTTCCGGTATAGTCCCGTGTTTCTCCNTCTTGTTTCCCGTGTTTCTCCGGCAGTGTGGTCGTTCATCACACTTTCCGTTATAGTCCCATGTTTATCTGGCAGTGTGGTCGTTCATCACACTTTCCGTTATAGTCACGTGATTCTCTGGCAGTGTGGTCTTCATTACACTTTCCGTTATAGTCCCGTTTTTCTCTGGCAGTGTGGTCGTTCATTACAGTTTCCGTATAGTCCCGTGTTTCTCCGGCATGGTGGTCGTTCATCACACTTTCCGTTATAGTCCCGTGTTTCTCTGGCAGTAAGGTCGTTCATTACAGTTTCCGTATAGTGCCGTGTTTCTCCGGCAGTGTGGTCGTCCATCACACTTTCCGTTATAGTCCCGTGTTTCTCTGGCAGTGTGGTCGTTCATTACACTTTCCGGTATAGTGCTGTGTTTTTCCAGCAGTGTGGTCGTTCATCACACTTTCCGTTATAGTCCCGTGTTTCTCTGGCAGTGTGGGCGTTCATCACACTTTCCGGTATAGCCCCGTGTTTCTCTGGCAGTGTGGTCGTTCATCACACTTTCCGTTATAGTCACGTGTTTCTCTGGCAGTGTGGATGTTCATTACACTTTCCGTTATAGTCACGTGTTTCTCCGGCAGTGTGGTCGTTCATCACACTTTCCGGTATAGCCCCGTGTTTCTCTGGCAGTGTGGTCGTTCATCACACTTTCCGTTATAGTCACGTGTTTCTCTGGCAGTGTGGTTGTTCATTACACTTTCCGTTATAGTCACGTGTTTCTCCGGCAGTGTGGTCGTTCATCACACTTTCCGGTATAGCCCCGTGTTTCTCTGGCAGTGTGGTCGTTCATCACACTTTCCGTTATAGTCACGTGTTTCTCTGGCAGTGTGGTAGTTCATTACACTTCCGTTATAGTCACGTGTTTTTCTTGCAGTGTGGCAATATGAGAAAGATCTGTTTAGTTCTTCCTTCGGCCATTTTGTTTTTATGATCAGTCTCAAAGTATAACATGCAAAAGGATGTATCAAGGGGAACTTACATATCAAATTTGAGTTATTCCTGAGAAATATTACTAACAAACCTTCAATGTCAAAAATCTAAGATGGCCACTGGTCGGCCATTTTGTTGATTTGATCAGTTTCAAAAGAAAACATGAACAATAAAGGATAGTGGGGAATCTGCATACAAAATTTGAGAAAGAACCCTCCAGAACTTCCTTAGAAATAGCACTAACAAACATTAACTGTCAAAATCAAAGATTTGTTTATCCGATCAGTCTCATAAGAAAACATGCACAACTTCATACAAAGTGGAACCTACATATAAAATTTGAGAAAGATCTCTCCAATACTTCCTAAGAAATAGCCATAACAAACATTCACTGTCAAAATCCAAGATTGGTGCCTGTCTTTCATTTTGTTTATCTGATCAGTCTCAAAAGTTAACCTGCACAACGAGGGACCAAGGAAAACCAGCATATAAAACTTGAGAAAGATCCCTCCAGTACTTCCTGAAAAATAGCGATAACAAACCTTCATCGTCAAAATCCAAAATGGCTGCCTGTCGTCCATTTTGTTTATGCACAACTAAAGACCAAGGGGAACCAACATATAAAATTTGAGAAAGATCCCTCCAGTACTTATTGAGAAATAGTGAAAGCAAACATTCACTGTCAAAATCCAAGATGGCTGTCTGTCGGCCATTTTGTTTATCTGATCAGTCTCAAAAGTGATTATGCCCAACTAGGGACCAAGGGGAACCTACATATAAAATTTGAGAAAGATCCCTCTAGTACTTCCTTTAGAAATAGCGATAACCAGAATTGTTTAAGGATAACCCTGACGCAGATGACGGACGACGTACAGATCCGCGAGGGAATGACGACAGAACATGGACGCAGGGCGATTTGAATGGTGGGCTTTATTAATCGATGCACAAGCCATTGATACCAAAAAACAGACAAAAATGAAAGATAAAGCCAGCTATTGCTTTAGACTTGTGAAAATATTGATATTCCAATAAGTAAATTGGAAATGATAATTTTTGTCTTTACTCACTTGTGCTTATAGAACGTCACATTCATGAATATGTTATCAGTAATTCTCAAATACTACACCTTTTCAAGAAATTATACAACACATAACCTTATATATACCTCTCACAAAGAGTACATCTCTTCGTACAAATAAAATCAACTACGTGGTTACAGAAATGATATAATACACAACCTGCATGGTTACAGAAATGATATAAAACACAACCTGCATGGTTACAGAAAATGTATTTATTATAGTCACGGTATACCGTCATGTATGTAGTGCAGGTAGTACATGTGTACTAGTGTCCGGATCTGAGGCCAAGGTGACACAGGTAGCCGCGTGAGGATGGAACGGGTAACGTGTAACTGCATGAGTTACAGGTGCGACACGGGTGTCTATAGAGTATTAAAGGTAGTTTGAGGGTGACATAGTCATTCGAGTCTTGACGGTTCATCAACTCACTTCAAGAAATTATATTTTCTTTTGTTAAATCATAGAATTATGAAATTTCCCTGTTTTCCTTGAGACAGGCATGGACTTCAGGGATGATGCCGGGAAGAGAATTCCTAGAGTCGGCCAGGATCCGGATTCAGGAGGAATGGAGAAGGGAGAAGGGAAGAAAGATCGGGCACGTGCCCTTGTATTTCATGTACATTTTTTCTGTAAGAAAATGATTGACCGTCGAAGGCCACTCCCATACATAGGTGTTGAGTTTTATATGATAAATGCTTTATGTTCGGTTGAACGTAGTGAATTAGAATCATAATGATATAAAACACAACCTGCATGGTTACAGAAATGATATAAAACACAACCTGCATGGTTACAGAAATGATATAAAACACAACCTGCATGGTTATAGAAATGATATACAAGAGGTCCAAGGGATAACAGAAAATTGTCAAAATATACCCAAAAGTGTTGTTTCCCTATATAAACTATAGTAAACTTTACCCCTCCCCAAGGGAGAACGGATAGCTCGGGGGTCCTGAAATTTACAATTTAAATAAAGCCCCTGATGATCTTTCCATCCATGCAGAGAAAATGACTGTAATACCTCTGAGTCTGGAGAAGAAGATTTTTGAAATATTGGTTAATTTTCCCTTTTGGGCCCCGCCCTGGCCCCTAGGGTTGGGGTAGGAATCCCAATTTTACAATTTAAAACCATCTTCCTCCTCCAAGGATGATTCTGACCAAGTAAAAATAATTTCCAACAGAAAATTGTCAAAATATACCCAAAAGTGTTGTTTCCCTATATAAACTATAGTAAACTTTACCCCCTCCCCAAGGGAGAACGGATAGCTCGGGGGTCCTGAAATTTACAATTTAAATAAAGCCCCTGATGATCTTTCCATCCATGCAGAGAAAATGACTGTAATACCTCTGAGTCTGGAGAAGAAGATTTTTGAAATATTGGTTAATTTTCCCTTTTGGGCCCCGCCCTGGCCCCTAGGGTTAGGGTAGAAATCCCAATTTTACAATTTTGTAGCCTCATCTACCAAGGATGATTCTGACCAAGTTTGAAAAAAATTCATCCACTGGTTCTTGAGAAGAAGTTGAAAATGTAAAAAGTTTACGCACAACGCACGATGGACGACAACGGACGGAAAGTGATTGGAATAGGTCACTTGAGCAAAGCTCAGGTGACCTAAAAACACAACCTGCATGGTTACAGAAATGATATAAAACACAACCTGCATGGTTACAGAAATGATATAAAACACAACTTGTATGGTTACAGAAATAATGTAAAACACAACCTGTATGGTTACAGAAATGATATAAAACACAACCTGCTGAATTCAACAAGTTTTTATTAATCCTTGTTTAACAAGTTGTATGTTACACAATATAAATGCATAAAATTCGAGAAAACAGACTTCAAGTTGTCTTTACAATGCTGTCGACTTTGTATTTTGTGACAGAATGGATCACTTCTGTTAAAGCAATCAAAACAGCATTTAATTGAATTTCATAGAGTAATTAAAACCACCATCAAAATAGGAATTGAGGAAATTCAATAATGATTCCTTTTCAAAACAACAGTAAGCTTTTAGTAAATGAATTATCATGGCCACACCATCAGATCAGAAATGCTAGTATGTACTTTAAGAACTGTACACACAAAAGAACATTCATACGAATGAAGTTAAAAATGTGGTCTCTACAAAAAGTAAAGGAGTTACCAGGTATTCTAGATTCAACATATCCCCTGTAAGGTCTTTACTGTAAATACTAGGCGTGATCCTAGTCTCCCATCAATCCTATCCCCTGTAAGGTCTTTACTGTATATACTAGGCATGATCCTGGTCTCCCATCAATCCTAAACCCTGTAAGGTCTTTACTGTATATACTAGGAGTGATCCTAGTCTCCCATCAATCCTATCCCCTGTAAGGTCTTTACTGTATATACTAGGAGTGATCCTGGTCTCCCATCAATCCTATCCCCTGTAAGGTCTTTACTGTATATACTAGGAGTGATCCTGGTCTCCCATCAATCCTATCCCCTGTAAGGTCTTTACTGTATATACTAGGAGTGATCCTGGTCTCCCATCAATCCTATCCCCTGTAAGGTCTTTACTGTATATACTAGGAGTGATCCTGGTCTCCCATCAATCCTATCCCCTGTAAGGTCTTTACTGTATATACTAGGCATGATCCTAGTCTCCCATCAATCCTATCCCCTGTAAGGTCTTTACTGTATATACTAGGCGTGATCCTAGTCTCCCATCAATCCTATCCCCTGTAAGGTCTTTACTGTATATACTAGGAGTGATCCTAGTCTCCCATCAATCCTATCCCCTGTAAGGTCTTTACTGTATATACTAGGAGTGATCCTAGTCTCCCATCAATCCTATCCCCTGTAAGGTCTTTACTGTATATACTAGGAGTGATCCTAGTCTCCCATCAATCCTATCCCCTGTAAGGTCTTTACTGTATATACTAGGAGTGATCCTAGTCTCCCATCAATCCTATCCCCTGTAAGGTCTTTACTGTATATACTAGGAGTGATCCTAGTCTCCCATCAATCCTATCCCCTGTAAGGTCTTTACTGTATATACTAGGAGTGATCCTAGTCTCCCATCAATCCTATCCCCTGTAAGGTCTTTACTGTATATACTAGGAGTGATCCTAGTCTCCCATCAATCCTATCCCCTGTAAGGTCTTTACTGTAAATACTAGGAGTGATCCTAGTCTCCCATCAATCCTATCCCCTGTAATGTCTTTACTGTAAATACTAGGAGTTATCCTAGTCTCCCATCAATCCTATCTCCTGTAAGGTCTTTACTGTATATACTAGGAGTGATCCTGGTCTCCACTAGACAATCCCTAAGGAATGTCTGTTTTATATTGCTATCACACTAACACTACAGAAAAGAGGTAGTGTCTGATTAATACTGTAGATAAGTAGATATCAAACGAAAATAATACTCTAAATACTTAGTAAATATCACAACATTTCCCTGGTTACAATCTTTCTCCTCTCCACCTGAGGATTACACAGCATTATAATAATCAGGCATTAATCTATAATATCATGGCCTTTAAAAGATAGCTTGTCTTTGGTAGGAAAACACACATAACACCCTGAAAACAGTTACATATCTAACCCAAACATTTTTTTGGCAAATATAGCACCAATCAAATGAGCAAATTTTCTGACAAGACAAGGAAGATTTTGTTGGTACCATTTGCTTTTCACAATATGTCTACCACTTTTTACTTATGGAATGTCCAGATTACCTGGTTTTTAGATGCAATGTAAAATAAGCACTTAACTTATTACTGTATTTACAGATTTTACCATAAATTACCCTCATTTTCAATATTTTCTATATTGAGCTTAAAACAGGGTTGAGTTGAATACTGTGCAGGTGGTTTTTGCAGATCAAGCGTGGTAGCCTCAAAGTGATGATAGTATGGTATATTGAATCTGTAGGGTATGTGTAGACATGTAACTAGTGATATCATTTATTATGTAAGAACACATGTGGCATTCTGTAGGCACAAAGGAAATGTATTGCTCACATAACATATCAAAAGTCTGATTTGTAATAAACTAATTATATCACCTGAGTATCTGAAGTTTACTGCCAAACCTGCCACAAATTAAAATCTAATTACCTACCCAGATTGGATGCCCAGGTAAACAGAAAAACAAATTGCCACATGATTTAAATTTATAAGCTCCTTTGATCTGGACAATTTCTTAAGGATGTGCTACATATTGTGAGAAATTTACAGGAAAGTTCCATGAAAATTATTTTTGACTATATTCTCTCTCTTGAAATTGACTTTAAAACTATGGTTTGAACATGTTTATTTAAAAAAAAAAATGCATTTTGGCATAATCTTTTGAGCATATACCGCATGTAAACCAGCAGATCACACACTGGGCCATTTAAACCAACAGATTACACACTGGGCCCTTTAAACCAGCATACTGTTGACAGTCCCTACAAAAAAATGTCTTCTGTCACTGCAATTTTCTTTTAAAATAAGATAATCACGTATAAATAGAAGGCTGTGATTATTTGCATTGCAAATTATTTTGAATTAAGTACATACACATGATAATGTTTGTGTTGGTGCTGTCACATAATGAGATACCGTATTTATCCGGCAATACACCCATGCCAGGTATTAAGCCTATACATATCCATTGTAGTTTAATAAAAACAAAGGCTATTTCGTTGTCCTGTTATAAGCTCATCCCTTTGAGTGAGATTACTTGTTGGCCTCCTGGGCTTATTACAGGATATATACGGTAGTTTATGCGCAGAATTTCCACTTTATATAATACATGTCTGTATAAGTTCCCTGAATGTAGACATGCCTAGCAATGCTGACTTTCCAGTAGAAAACTACTGTGTTAGAGCTTCACAAAAGTACACATAAAATGACATACATGACAGAGACAACAGATATTTCACAACAAAATTTGCCCTATTGCTGTATATACTAAAACTAAAAATTATACCCCCATTATTTCAGAGTGGGGTTGACTGTATCAGTGAAGTTTCATGAAATTTAGCATAAAACTGTAGAAGTTGTGCAAACGAGATGGTGTTGACCAACTTTTGTAAAAAGGGTCATAACTCCCATACAAATTTAAATGCCGTAATCACAACTAAACAACTTCAGAGTGTGTTGATTACATCAGCAAAGTTTCATGAAATTCAGCTGAAAACTGTAGAAGTTGTCCAGACAAGATTTTGTCTACAGACAGACAGACGTACAAACGTACAGACGTATAGACAAACAACCGATTCCAGTATTGATCCCCTTTGGGGAGAGGAATATAAAAACATCAATATCCTCTCATTAATAACTACATATTAGATAGTTTATCAGATACCATTAGAGTAATCAATAACTATTTTAACACAGATACCAATAACTAAAGAAAATCTATATAACTATTAAACTGATATCAGTAAATAATTAAAATTAAAACTTTGTAACATTAAAGTAAATGAAAACCGCTGGCATTCAAGTCCTAAGCTATTGCTATACTACAACTAAAGCTATCAATCTAATACTTTAAGTCTTTGGAAACTATTAAGGAATGACATTCTAATTGTGAAATTAAATGATCATGTAAATATAACAAAAACATGCATCTACATTCTCTACAAAATATATTCTATGGGTAAAAGCAGTTCTGATAATGCAATTAAAATTTTGATAGAATCAAAAATAGTGAATTAGATTCAATCATTTCATTCAAATTCATGCAAAGTAAAACACGATCATTAAAACTGATCATTGTAGAAATTGTGAAAGGCTAGCTATAACACAAACATAAACAGGATATTTTAAATCAATCAATTAAATAATTTAAAAATAGATTTGATAATATACTAGAACATTCTGAAATCTAATTTTACAATACAACTCTGCGGGCAAAATTTAAACTCATGTTGAATGTTTTGAGTAATAAAAGATTATGTAGAATAGGCCATATTGCTGTGAAAAGTGTTCACCTGAATGTTCACATAGCTATATGGACCATGGATGATGACAAAAATGAACCTCAGTCAGTAGATCACGGAGCCAAAAGAGACTATATAATATGGGCTTGTAACCAGAGATGTACGAGGCACTTAGTCCAGTCCATTTCAGTGCTAACTGACCAACAACCGGAGAAAGGTCATACAAAAACATCACGTAGTATGTTACTTTATCATGCTGCATCATTAAGTATGGAAGTATGTGTAAGACTAGTGCACCTTCATAGATTTTCGGCCAGTACAGATGTTCTTGTTGATGTCGCCGTCGTCCTTGTTGATAACGTCTGTGTTACCTCCAGTGAGACCGTTAGAGACTCCCTGTGAGGAGTTTACATTTGTGTTCGTTCTCTGTGTGGTGACCTCTGTTAGTATCACGGTCAACTTCTCCATAAAGTGGTCAACATTGTTCTTACTGAAACACATCGGCGGCTTGGTCTTGATGACGTTACTGTAGGGGCCATCTGTACTGAGTAGAATGTGCTCCTCCTTCATCCTACAACATTTACCATGTCAATATAAGAAAACCAAACACAAGTCATATCCCTCAATAGTTACTGCAACATTTCTCCTAATAATCTATTCCCCTTATATCCCCAGGATCCAATTGTATCTCCTCCCCACCCCTCCCCTCACCTCTCCTGACTCCCCGATATCTCATTTTATTTCCACTTTGTCTTCCACTGTTCCTAGTGTATCTCTCCCCTCTAAATCTCCTTCCTCGCATTCTACTGTCGTTGTCTATTATTTTTCCTCATCCCCAACTTATTCCATCTTCATGCGCCCACTGTTTCTCAACCTGCTCCCCTATTCTGTTTCTCCACTCTACCACACCCTTTTTTCATTCCATCTCCCCTCTGTATCTCCTCTTGGTCCCTTTGTATCTCCTGTTTCTGTCAATCTTCTGCTCTAAATCTACTCTTTTCGATCTTCTGTTTTTGACCTCAACTACTTCATTTTATTTCCCCCTGTCTCCTCTGCTCCCATTGAATCTGTCATCTACATGCACCTCAAACATCCTTGTCCCACATGAAGTGACACACTAGAGAGTTCCACTGTACTTTTCATGTATGCTTGAACGTCCCTTTCATTTCATTTTGGAAGTCACTGTAGTCAGATAGATCTACCACAGATCGGGTAGCCTGTTTATTTGTCTGGGGTTTAACTATATGAAGATTGGTACCTAGGGAGACGCTACAGAAAAGACAGAGTAGAGAAGTGAGTATAGGAAATAGAGAGGCCATATCATAATTTGAGGTCCGGGTCGTGGAATTTTCACTCTCAGAACATTGCTGATATCTCTTTTGTTGATTTTAGGTATTATTTTTCATTCAAGTTTTACAAGGTATGGGTGTTTTATCAGAAATGGTTTATTGAAGCTTTTATAATGCAGATGAAAAAGCTTTAAATTCAGTGGTACATTTATCCTTAATGACCGTCTTGCATGACTGTCTCCCCACACATATGATCCACTTGTCTCCCTCGCAATTCTTCTCTGTTTCCATTCTGATTCTACTACTTTCATTTCATTTCCATTCTGTCTCCCCTACTTACATTTGGTTGCCCCTCATGGTCTCCCTTCCCTGTATTTTGTCTTTCACACACATGGTGCTTCCATTCTCCCATCTCTATCTCCCCTCGTTTTATTTCTCCTCTCTTGCCTACCCCTATTCTCGTTTTATTTCTCCTCTCTATCTCCCCTCGTTTTATTTCTCCTCTCTTGCCTACCCCTATTCCACATTTGTTACGTGTCATCACCCTTCTGTTTGATCATGTTCTGATTCTATCACCCCTTCTCTTCTTCTACTTCCCATCTACCCCCTCCTTTCCAATTTGACTTACCATTTTGCTATACAATAAGACTTCATTATACACCCAATATTTGTCCAGCGCAAAAATGGTGCAAATAATATGGTTGTTTAGTCGAAATTGGAGAGAAACGCAGATGCAATGTAGGTAGGAATGGGTCATTATATATAATGAGGTCATGTGTACAGTATGGGGTGGGGGAGTGAGGCTGCGAGATATTACTATGTACGAGTAGATATAACACACACAAAGGGCTGACACACTTACCTTGTTATAACCGTGTTTGCCTCCTCAGTAGCTGGCTCTCGAGTCTCCCTGTCCTTAACAAGGTCAATACCAAGGAAAAGACCTTGACCCCTATTACATAAGGAAGAAACCTTTACCTTTATTACAGAACATGTGAAAATGTAATTGAAGAACAGAACTTAATTACAGTACATAACAGAAAGGTAAAAGAAGCCAAGCCAATATAATTCCAGAAGCAGACCTTTACTCCAGTAACAACAATTTAAGGTCAAAAGGTCAAAATACAAGAGAAATCATTAGCTGTTCTTTTTTAATAAGACAACTTTTCCTTTTATTTTTATACCATTTTTCTCATTTCCATTCATAACTTGATTCTTACTTCAATTTGTTTACTAATCAATAAGCTCAGTGTGTACATACACTTTACCTGTATACATATTGACTATAGTTCTGTGGGGATTTCACAAGTCCAATAGTAATCTATACAATACAAGCTAACAGTAATTACCTGACTTGTCCGATTATGTCAAACTGGCTCATTAGTTCTGTAACCTTGGCCTTCCAGTATTGACCAACATCCAGAGCATTCTGTCTCAGGTGTTCCTTCTCTATTACATCTAGTACAGCCATGGCAATGGAACACGACACCGGGTTACCACCATACTGAAATATTTACATGGTACACCTTACATTAGGATTGCTGCCACACTGAAAAAGTGATACAGTATAACTTATAGTAGTACCCCTTACATTAGGATTGCTGCCATACTGAAAAAGTTATACAGTATAACTTATAGTAGTACACCATGTACAAGGATTACTGCCATACTGAAAAAGTCATACAGTATAACTTATAGTAGTACACCTTACATTAGGATTGCTGCCACACTGAAAAAGTTATACAGTATAACTAATAGTAGTACACCTTACATTAGGATTGCTGCCATACTGAAAAAGTTATACAGTATAACTTATAGTAGTACCCCATGTACAAGGATTGCTGCCACACTGAAAAAGTTATACAGTACAACTTATAGTAGTACACAATGTACACGGACCGCTGCCACACTGAAAAGGTCATACAGTATAACTAATATTAGTACACCTTACATTAGGATTGCTGCCATTCTGAAAAAGTTATACAGTATAACTAATATTAGTACACCTTACATTAGGATTGCTGCCATAATGAAAAAGTTATACATTATAACTTATAGTAGCACACAATGTACAAGGATTACATCCGTACTAAAAAAGTTATACAGTACAACTTATAGTAGTACACAATGTACAAGGATTACTTCCGTACTGAAAAAGTTATACACTATAACTTCTAGTAGTACACAATGTACACGGACCGCTGCCACACTGAAAAAGTTATACATTATAACTTATAGTAGTAAACCATGTCCAAGGATTACTGCCACACTGAAAAAGTTATACACTATAACTTCTAGTAGTACACAATGTACACGGACCGCTGCCACACTGAAAAAGTCATACAGTATACCTTATAGTAGTACACCATGTATAAGGATTACTGCCATACTGAATTGTTACACTGTAAACTATAAACTAGGGTCACAGAACACTCAGTTACATTGTATACCACATACACTAGAATAACTGACTATGAAACAATGAAAGAGTTACATGGTATACCATACATGAGGGTTACTGCCACAATGAAATAGTTACATTGTATGTTTACCATACACTAGGGTTACTGCCACAATAAAATAGTTACATTGTATACCATACACAAGGGTTACTGCAACACTGAAATAGTTTCATTGTATAACATACACTAGGGTTATGCCACAATAAAATAGTTACATTGTATACCATACACTTGGGTTACTGCCACAATGGAATAGTTACATTGTATACCATACACTAGGGTTACAGCCACAATGGAATAGTTAGTGTATACCATACACTAGGGTTACTGCCACAATGAAATAGTTACATCGTATACCATACACTAGGGTCACTGTAACACTCAGTTACATTGTATACCTTACACTAGAATAACTGACTATGAAACAATGAAAGAGTTACATGGTATACCATACACAAGGGTAACTGCCAAAACGAAATAGTTACATTGTATACCATACCCTAGGGTTACAGCCACAATGAAATAGGTATATTGATTGTATACCTTACACTAGAATAACTGACTATGAAACAATGAAATAGTTACATCGTATACCATACACTAGGGATACTGCCACAATGGAATAGTTACATTGTATCCCATACATGAGGGTTACTGCCAAAATGAAATAGTTACATTGTAGACCATAGAAGAGGGTTACAGCCACAATGAAATAGGTATATTGATTGTATACCTTACACTAGAATAACTGACTATGAAACAATGAAATAGTTACATTATATGTATACCATACACTAGGCTTACTACTACAATGAAATAGTTATATGGTATACCATACACAAGGGTTATTGGCACAATAAAATAGTTACATTGTATACCATACACTAGGGTTACTGCAACAATGAAATAGTTTCATTGTATACCATACACTAGGGTTATGCCACAATAAAATAGTTACATGGTATACCATACACTAGGGTTACTGCCACAATGGAATAGTTACATTGTATACCATACATGAGGGTTACTGCCACAATGAAATAGTTACATTGTATGTATACCATACACTAGGGTTACTGCCACAATAAAATAGTTACATTGTATACCATACACAAGGGTTACTGCAACACTGAAATAGTTTCATTGTATAACATACATTAGGGTTATGCCACAATAAAATAGTTACATTGTATACCATATACTAGGGTTACTGCCACAATGGAATAGTTACATTGTATACCATACACTAGGGTTGCTATCACAATGAAATAGTTACATTGTATACCATACAATAGGGTTACTATCACAATGAAATAGTTAAATTATATACCATACACTAGGGTTACTGCCACAATAAAATAGTTACATTGTATACCATATACTAGGGTTACTGCCACAATGGAATAGTTACATTGTATACCATACACTAGGGTTACTGCCACAATGAAATAGTTACATTGTATACCATACACTAGCGTTACTGTCACAATGAAATAGTTACATTTTATACCATACACTAGGGTTACAGCCACAATGAAATAGGTATATTGTATACCATACACAAGGGTTACTGCCACAATGAAATAGTTACATTGAATATCATACACTAGGGTTACTGCCACAATGAAATAGTTACATTGTATACCATACACTAGCGTTACTGTCACAATGAAATAGTTACATTTTATACCATACACTAGGGTTACAGCCACAATGAAATAGTTATATTGTATACCATACACTAGGGTTACTGCTATACTGAAATAGTTACATTGTATACCATACACACAGCTGTCTGATATCGCTTGTGTGGTGACTACTGCAGCCACTGGGTGNAGCCACAATGAAATAGTTATATTGTATACCATACACAAGGGTTACTGCCACAATGAAATAGCTACATTGTATACCATACACTAGGGTTACTATCACAATGAAATAGTTACATTGTATACCATACACAAGGGTTACTGCCACAATGAAATAGTTACATGGTATACCATACACTAGGGTTACAGCCACAATGAAATAGGTATATTGTATACCATACACGAGGGTTACTGCCACAATGAAATAGTTACATTGTATATCCTACACGAGGGTTCACTACCACAATGAAATTGTATACCATACAATAGGGAAACAAGTTCATGTCCTATGCTTGATATTAAAATGACACCAATCTTGTTATCTGGTCGACCAATACTAGATACAAACAGCTGTCCCATTATACACAGATTGTACAAACATAGACCTACTGTGTTGAAGTACTCCATGCCACTGTCCCTAAAGCTGTCTGATATCGCTTGTGTGGTGACTACTGCAGCCACTGGGTGACCATTACCCATTGGTTTCCCTAACGTAACAATATCTGGTTCAACACCTGAAACACAAAACCTGTAATTAAGCTTACAGACAACATGTTTATACCTACTCGGGAATTACCTTCCACACATCACAAAACAACCAGCCCGTCATTATTTGTCATGATTCCCTGGTCAAATATGTCAGTTTCTAATGAACTGAACAGATTAACACAAAATGTTTAATACAAAACTATACATTTATTATATGTTACACAGATCATTACTTTTTCAATGCCTCCACTAGGAGTCAAACCTAGGACCTCTGGTGTTCAGTCTCATGCTCTACCGAATGAGCTAAAGAGACACCTCCCTAACCAAGTCAGTAAGAACCGGCTAGTATTCTGTACCAGAGTGACATATACATCAAACATAGACATAGTAAATTATAGTTTATGAATAATCTTAAGAATTACTTGCAAAACTAATATGGTTATTAGTTAAAAGTAAATTTGGTTACCTTGAGGTTGGAAGGCCCAGAAGTGACTTCCTACTCTGCCAAATCCCACTTGGACCTCATCAGCTATACAGACTCCGCCAGCCTCTCTCACATACCTATGGGGACAAACAGTCGGTCAATATAACCAGACACTAAAACCTATTCTATCTTTTAGATATGCTGGGACTAGAAAATACTGTTGGAGTTATTCCAGTGTTCAGGTTCTGTAAGGTAAGGCTATGTTGGTCTGGAATCACTTATCTGTTCCCTTTAGGAGGGACACTTGACCCATCCGACTTATACAATGTAGGTGTTCAGGTTCTGTAAGGTAAGGCTATGTTGGTCTGGAATCACTTACCTGTTCCCTTTAGGAGGGATACTTGACCCATCCGATTTATAGGTGTTCAGGTTCTGTAAGGTAAGGTTATGTTGGTCTGGACTCACTTACCTGTTCCCTTTAGGAGGGATACTTGACCCATCCGATTTATAGGTGTTCAGGTTCTGTAAGGTAAGGTTATGTTGGTCTGGAATCACTTACCTGTTCCCTTTAGGAGGGATACTTGACCCATCCGATTTATAGGTGTTCAGGTTCTGTAAGGTAAGGTTATGTTGGTCTGGACTCACTTACCTGTTCCCTTTAGGAGGGATACTTGACCCATCCGACTTATACAATGTAGGTGTTCAGGTTCTGTAAGGTAAGGTTATGTTGGTCTGGACTCACTTACCTGTTCCCTTTAGGAGGGATACTTGACCCATCCGACTTATACAATGTAGGTGTTCAGGTTCTGTAAGGTAAGGTTATGTTGGTCTAGAATCCCTTATCTGTTCCCTTTAGGAGGGATACTTGACCCATCCGACTTATACAATGTAGGTGTTCAGGTTCTGTAAGGTAAGGTTATGTTGGTCTGGAATCCCTTATCTGTTCCCTTTAGGAGGGATACTTGACCCATCCGACTTATACAATGTAGGTGTTCAGGTTCTGTAAGGTAAGGTTATGTTGGTCTAGAATCCCTTATCTGTTCCCTTTAGGAGGGATACTTGACCCATCCGACTTATACAATGTAGGTGTTCAGGTTCTGTAAGGTAAGGCTATGTTGGTCTGGAATCACTTATCTGTTCCCTTTAGGAGGGACACTTGACCCATCCGACTTATACATCATATATATGTACATGATTACTTTTGTCTGCATGTAATACTCGTACTGTTTTGAAAAATGAGCAAATTGCTGATAAAATCTGGCTACTGATGAGTCAATCTCTACCATAGTGATTACTACAGCATTAAATGTAGCCCGATTATTGTTTATGATATATATCCAGCACACTTCTATTTTGTTTGCATGGATTCAGTACTACATTTTGTATTTCAAATATGATGAAATATCCCTTTCATGATCCCATTCTTCTCCATGTGATTGTCTTGTACTGTTGTATATCCCATTCTTCTCTATGTGATTGTCTTGTACTGTTGTATATCCTATTCTTCTCTATGTGATTGTCTCGTACTGTTGTACATCCCATTCTTCTCTATGTGATTGTCTTGTACTGTTGTATATCCCATTCTTCTCTATGTGATTGTCTTGTACTTTTGTAGATCACCTGTCTTAAGTATAGTTATTGTTTTCCATTGTAACTGATATCTCCCAACTGGATGTTTAAGCAATCATTGCAAAACATTTAAACGAATACATTGCAGTAACAAGCATACATACAGCTGTTCTGGACTAGTAGCATTTGAAAGCAAATGTTGACGGACAGATGGTAAACTGGACAAAAAAAAGGACACAGCGCCATGGCAAGGTCACTTTATACATTTTTTCCAGATTGAATATTTATCACTCTTTTACTCAGACTCTTTGTTAATTTGAATTCAATATATATTTCACACAACTTCATGACCTTATTAAGTTTATTATCCTGTACTTGACCCCACCAAATACGAGCTTGACAGTCATTTACATGTGTCAATTGTTTATAAGCAGTGTGACTTTCATACAATAATGTGCGTAGCTGTTTAACTTCAGCATGTAACACTATCTTGACCAGACTGATTCCGAGATCGAGTAACTTAAGACAGTTGTCGAGTATGGTGTATCATGTTCACTGGAAGTGTCCGGTGCCAGACACACATTACAGCTCTAAGTTCATCTCCCTTTCATCCAACACCAGTATGTTTAATCACATGCACATTTCGTCTGCCACTTTATATGGAAATTACATCATTTCGACTTTGTATTCATTTAAGTAGTCATTGGATGTTACATGTCAGAGAGACATAAAACAAACTTGGGCACACCATCCTTGTTGGAAGACAGGAGTACTGGTACCAGTTACTGATCAATACTGCCTTAACATAACCAGCACATCTCACTTCAACTTGTCAATTAGCCAGCACCTTACTCACATATCTCCACCACTACAAAAACCAGCATTTTACTCACTGATCTCCAACATCCGCAAACCAAGCATCTTACTAACATCTCTCCAATATCTCCAAACCAAACACCTTACTAACATCTTTCCAACACTGCCAAACCAAAGTAAACCTTACTAATATATCTCCAATATCTCCAAATAAAGCACCTTACTAACATCTCTCCAACATCCCCAAACCAAACCCCTTACTAACATCTCTCCAACACTGCCAAACCAAGCACCTTACTAACATCTCTCCAACACTGCCAAACCAAGCACCTTACTAACATCTCTCCAACACTGCCAAACCAAGCACCTTACTAACATCTTCCCAACACTGCCAAACCAAGCACATTACCAACATCTTTCCAACACTGCCAAACCAAGCACCTTATTAACATCTTCCTAACACTGCCAAACCAAGCACCTTACTAACATCTCCCCAACACTTCCAAACCAAGCACATTACCAACATCTTTCCAACACTGCCAAACCAAGCACCTTACCAACATCTTCCCAACACTGCCAAACCAAGCACCTTATTAACATCTTCCTAACACTGCCAAACCAAGCACCTTACTAACATCTCCCCAACACTTCCAAACCAAGCACATTACCAACATCTTTCCAACACTGCCAAACCAAGCACCTTACCAACATCTTTCCAACACTGCCAAACCAAGCACCTTATTAACATCTTCCTAACACTGCCAAACCAAGCACCTTACTAACATCTTCCCAACACTGCCAAACCAAGCACATTACCAACATCTTTCCAACACTGCCAAACCAAACACCTTACTAACATCTCTCCAATATCTCCAAACCAAGCACCTTACTAACATCTTTCCAACCCTGCCAAACCAAAGTAAACCTTACTAATATATCTCCAATATCTCTAAATAAAGCACCTTACTAACATCTCTCCAACATCCCCAAACCAAACACCTTACTAACATCTCTCCAACACTGCCAAACCAAGCACCTTACTAACATCTTTCCAACACTGCCAAACCAAGCACCTTACCAACATATCTCCAACAAACCCAGCACTTTACCAACATCTCTCCAACATCCCTAAACCTAGCACTTTACCAACATCTCACTGATCTACAACACTGCCAAAACCTCCACCTTACTTACATCTCTCCAACATGACCAAACCCTCCACCTTACTTACATCTCTCCAACACGGTCAAACCATACAATCACACCTAACTTTCATATTCATGTCTTTCCTGAACTGTGAAATTGACATAGTGGTAACTGATTTGAATACCAAGGTGGTCCATCTCATATTGGATATACCTAACCCATACACCTACATACAGTGTTTATATGTAAATTTACATGTTACAGCCTTTCATTGTCTTTCCCAGCTATCACAGGTACATACAGGTCATAGCAATGATTTCATTAAAACATCATATAAACCAGCTACAACTAAACCTTAGTGCTTGATGGACTGTAACATATTAAAAGTACCATAATTGACTTATAAACAGACCCCCCCCCCCAACATAAAAAAAAACATTTCAAAGAATTAAGTACAGGTACACACTTGTAAACAGACTGGAGGTAGCCTTGAGGTAGGATGATCTGCCCACCACAACTCTGCATGGACTCAGCAATGAAGAAGGAGACATTCTTGCCATCTTGCTTAATCTTGTGTATGACATCGCGGACATCATTGGCATACAGCTGCCCAATGTCTTGCCCAGGGTAGTCCCTGTCGCGGTATTTGCCTCTGTACACATCTGGACATGAGACCTGTAACCAAACCCATGCTGTGAATCAGTCGATGTTCTCACGGGATGTCAAATTTAAAACACATATATTTCATATCATTGTCTTTCTAAACTAGATCACAAAGATCATTTAATGTGTAATCATCTGAAATTGTGAGTTAACTCATTCACCCCTGAAGACATATTTGAACACTTCCAATTCAAAGGTTGGAATAGTTTATTATGAAATTTTCTGGGGTGAATGAGATAAAGGCTCTCTGCTGAATTGTCAAAATAAAAATGCTGCCATAAATGTACATATAAAGTGATGCAAATGGTGCCAAAATTTTATGAAAGTCTGTTGAAAACATTATCAGCAGTTCTAACTGTGCTGTTATAAATCCCAGCATATGCAATCAAATAATCACAAAACATTCTTATCTGCTCAACATAAATTATGGCATAAAGACATCATCCAATCAGAGGTCAAAGTAGCCAATTTGAATATTCATGCTTTCAGTCGTTCAACAACAAAGTTGAAGTTGAACCAATACCATTATTGCCGTAGACCATCCGAGACCATGGCAGTCATCTTCAATCCTGTAACTAAAAGGTTGGCTGTTTGACATGATGTATGTTCCTTATGCATCACTCCCACAAAATTTAACTTTATTTAGAACTTAAGGTGAAACCATCATTTTTTCAGCCAATTAAAGACAACGGCAGCCATCTTTAATCCAATAAATTAACATTCGCCATCCGATTTACAGAACATGTTTACATATTCCCTATACTTATCATTGTAACAGGTAAGAATTAGTCTTTGAGATTTTTCCTAACACGACTTGAAATGTCACAGTGCAATAAGGGCAATAAATCTGGGGGGGGGATGTCAAAACTGAACAAATTATAACAGATGGGCGACTCCTTAATGTACCAATCAACCATATTCATTGTTTTGCCAAATAGAGCAATTGTACATATAACACACAGTGTTAAGATATCTTGTATCAAACAGGGTTATCAGTGGAAGTATGACACTGTTGTCTTACTTGTCAAACTGGATGTGAAGAAGGTCATGCCTCTCATACACATGAATGTACAGCACATTTTGTATGTTCATGGCATATAAATAACATTATTATATTACTGTATTTATTAGCGAATCCTTAAGGTTACCAGATAAATGGCCAAGTAAATGGAGGTGCTTCTGGGATGTCTATAATTCAAACTCAAAATAAAACCCTACATTGTATTGATTGTCTGCATTAGTAAGTGGTGTAATAGTCAAGTTTGACCTACATGTATGTATTACCAGTAGTCAGTGTTCTACACTTGTCTGACCTATAAATGGTCACTTGTGTAATGGTACCAAAACAGTGGAGGATCCAGAGACCTATCTGGGTGGGGGGTCCGAATTTCCAGGGGGGGTTTCCACGTTGGGAAACATTGAGGAAAATGGTGAAAATACATGATTTTGATCTTGTGGTCAGTTCAGGCATTATAATACAATATGACCTATTGATCAGTTCAGGTATACGATTTGACCATTATGGTTAGCAGTGTAAGGTCTGACCATGTAGCACTACAACTACCACTACCTGTCAGATAAAAATAAGGTAATATTATGTAATCAAGTAGACCTACAGTGTAGCTAGATGTAGATGTATTAACACTTGGTGTCCAGTCAGTGTGAGACAGAATCCCTATAGACCATGGTATTTCTGGGCTAGATACCAACACAATACAGGGTTATACTGTCTAGGTAAAAGCTAGAGAACGTTACGACAGCTAGCTGCAGTAGTAATTGACGTACACAATGCAAGTAATATACACTGTATCATATAAGTATTTGTGGGTATATCATTGTTGTATGTAAACCACACGGAGTCTGAAACAGAGTCGACTCCAAATATGACAAGAATTGTTTGAAAGTATTCTGGAGTTAGCTCTAGTTGATGATCATTGTGTCTAAGATGATCAGGAGTTATCTTAGGATAATTGCAATAACAACAAATTAATGCCATAGGTTGCCTGGATTTCATGCCTAAAGATGCAGCTTTATAACACAAAGGCTTTAATAAGCAAAACTTGTCCATCATGATTAGGGAGATCATGTATAGCTATATATAGATATAAATAGCAAAACATGTACCATATTTATCCAGTAGTAAGTCCAGGAAGCCAACACATACCTAGCTCAAATAGGGTCTGGGCTAATTACAGGACAAGGAAATAGCATCGGTTGGCATTTCCACTGAATTGCATCAGATATGGCAAGCCAAGTTGTCCTTTATTCATGAAGCAATGTTGATCCAGTACTTAACCAAAATATATAAGATATCTTATAAAGAAAAGTATATAAGATATCTGATTTATTATATAAGATATCTTATATATTATAAAAGATATCTCATAAAAGATATAAGATATCTTATAAAAAAAAAAGAGATATCTTATATATTTCATAAAAGATATAAGATATCTTATAAAAAAAAAAAGATATCTTACATATTATATAAGATATCTTATAAAAAAAAAAAGATATCTTATATCTTTTATAAGATATCTTATATATATAATATATAAGATATCTTATAAACAAAAATAAATGAGATATCTTATATAATTGGGTTATAAGATATCTTATAAAGAAAGAGATTTAAATGTGAGACAATAAACCCTCCCCACAGCGCTTGGAACCTATCGATAACCGAAGGGGTCCGAGAGGATTTGATCGAAAATGGCTGCCTATGACAATGGGACCAGTTATCAAATTGAAACTACTATAATTATGGCAAGCCAAGTTGTCATTTATTCATGGAGCAATTTTGATCAAGTACTTAACCAAATTATGGCCAACACAAACAGATGTGACCTTATACAACGGGAGCAGTGATTTTCAAACATTTCTTCTTTGTCCGTCTCGCAAGAGTCTCGTTCTTTATAAGATATCTCAATTAATTTTCTTTATAAGATATCTTACATGTTTATAAGATATTTTATATGTTTATAAGATATCTTATATTATTTATAAGATATCATATATAATTTATAAGATATCTTATATAATATATGAGATATCTTATATAATTTGGTTAAGTACTGGATCAACATTGCTCCATGAATAAATGACAACTTGGCTTGCCATAATCAGATCTAACTTTAATTGCTGTTCAGTCAGAAATACGCCCACAAATGCTATTTCCTTGTCCTGCAATCAGTGCATCCATATGAGTATGGACGAACTGGAAATTATAGGTAGTGGCTTATTGCCAGATAAAAACAGGCTGATAAGAATAAAAGTCAATGTTAGGATGTTAGCAGAGTAGCTTAGGGTGAAATGATATGTTTGTTCGATTCCTCACACAATAAGTGGTGCTCTGATCGTATAAGGCACAGGGGTGAATTAAAGGCCCCCTGAAACAGACTAATTATTACCACCTTAATAGTAGCACAATATATAAATCAGTTTTGATTTAGACGAGAATAGCTGGGACATGCAAACAACAACAAATTATGTCTGTTAGAGAACCTTGCACCTTGTCAATACATATTTAGTACCAATAGCTATCTATAGCTATCGTTGAAAGAATGAAATTAATTTTATCTGCATATTTCTAAATCTTCTTGTTAACAACTTTTCATTAGGATAGTTTAACAAGAGCTGAAGAGACTACAGTTATCTACAAATAGTAGATTGTGGTCCGGACCATGGCTGTATCATCTTAAACGGTTTGTTTTAATTATTCTCTTTCAGTTTCATCAAATCTGTTCAGAAATGTATCAATTTGAATGATATAGATTTTCTATAGAAAATACTGTTGACTTCGACCCTTAATCATTAAATAACATCACCTTTGTATAAATTGTATCAAAATGAAATCACTAGAATAAATTTGACAATTAACAGAGTGTACCTATAAGAAATAACAGCCATCACCTATGACCTTGACTTTTGACCTATAACCTTGTGTTTTATAGGTTCATCCTCCTTAATTGCCATGCCCAATTACTGTACTAAGTTGGAACAAGATAGAATACACAGCCTTAGAACCATTTTGATAATCAGAAATCATATCTTTCACCCGTGACCTATGACAAAGAATTTCAGTGGCCATTTACAATACCATGTTTGAGTGACTGTTAACCTGAAGATGGGGACAATTGGACAAAGTTTAGTTAGATATCTTCACAGTCAGTCTGAAGTACACTTGTATTTACAGGTATTTCACCTTTGACCTTTATTGTAGCACAGACAACAAGAGGACCAAGATGGCCTGTATCGCTCACCTGAATATTTAAGCAGTCATAGCAAAATATTCTCATTAAATATTATATTGCACTAAAATTATTTCCCTCGCAAACTTTGTTGGCTCCATCTGTTGAAACTACCAGCAAAATATTTTTATAAGATTCTATGCTTTTTGTTTCTTCTTCAGAAGTTGTTTGACATATTTTTCCCTGTGACCTTGTAAGTAGGTCAATGTAATTTTCCTTCTCAAATTTGTAAGCTCTATTCCAAAATGCTACCAGACAAATCTTATGAATCCATTCCTTTTAGCTCTTGAGAACAAATTCTTTAAAATGTTGTTGACCTCTGTGACCTCTAAAGTAGGTTGAGGTTATTTTCATTCCCAAATTTTGGTGAGCTCTATCCCAGGAAGTCACCAGCCAAATATTATAATTTTATGCCTTTTAATTCTTCAGAAGTAGTTTGAACCGTTTGAAATATTTAAACGCTGTGACCTTGAAAGTAAGTCAAGGTCATTTTCATTCGCAAACTTTGTTTGGCTCTTTCCCAGGAAACAACCAGCCAAATATTAAGGTTCTATACCTTCCAGTTCTTCAGAAGAAGTTGTTCTAAACGTTAGACATATCCGACTCCTGTGACCTTAAAGAAGGTCAAGGTCATTTTCATTCTTAAACTTTGTTCGGCTCTTTCCTAGGAAGCTACAAGCCAAATATAGAGATTCTATACCTTTCAGTTCTTCAGAAGAAGTCGTTTGAAGTGTCTGACACATTTGACTCCTGTGACCTTAA